ATAGAGAACATGAATTGAACGCATACAGGAATCGCATAAATGAGCTATGTATCAAATATGAATTTTCAGCAGTAATGAGATATGATGAGGATTGTAGACTGGCTGTGGTAATGAACCATGATACAACATTATTAGACAGAAACATAGAAGCTGAAGGTAAAAACTTTGATGCATCAGCTGCAAGAAAAACAAAAGAAGTGTGGAGGCATCCAACTCGAATAAGCACATACTGGCAAGATGGCAAAGAAATTTGTCTCAATTGGAATCGTAGAACATGCCCAGAGGACAAAGATTGTGGCAGAATCCATGCATGCATAATATGCAAGAAAATTGGCCATAATGAAAAGAATTGCTTCTGGAAAAATCCAAGAAATAAAAATTCTCACAAGCCTTCAAATGAATAACAAATAAATAAATAAATAAATAAATAAAATAAAATAAAAAAAAAAATAAAAATAAAAAAAAAAAATAAAATAAAAAAAAAAAATAAAATAAAATATAAGAAAGCGTGACAAACAACAAGTATAAAATATGTACTAATATATATGCTTTTGAATATAGCAACAAACTACATAATAAAGCCAATAAAATACACATCGCGATTCAAGGCATCTAGAGCAGTTACATTATATTCAAGACCATATCTACAATCAGTAGAGCAAACAGTAATAGCAATTCCTCCAAGAAATAATCCCCTATCACAAGAGGAACTTGCAATTATGAAACAGCTAAACCCTGCATATTTTAATGTAAAGACTCCAATTAATAAACTAGCATTTGATTATCTGACAAAAGATCATCCAAACCAACCGTTTATTCAGTATCTGAAAGATGGTTTAGAGCATGGTTTCAGACTTAACTTTGCGGGTAAACGAGCAAAAGTAATACAGAAAAATCTAAAATTGATTAATATAGAACCTACTGCATTAACAAAGTATATTGCAGATGAACTCACCATGGGACGTATGTGCGGTCCCTTTACTCTAGAGAATCCTCCATGCTCAACATTTCAGGTAAACCCATGTGGTTTAGTAGAAAAGAAAGATACTAACCCCAAGATTTATCAGGTCATATCACATTTGTCAGCCCCAGCTGGAGCAAGCATAAACGATAGTATTAATATCACTGAATTTGCAACAAAATATGAGAACATAAACCATGCAATTAGTTGGATTATGCAATATGAAGAGGGATGTTTGTTATCAAAAATTGATATTAAAGATGCATATCGTATCCTTTCAGTATACCCAGTCGATCAGGTATTTCAAGGATTAATAAATGACAACAAGCTATATTTTGACAAAGCATTGGCATTTGGCAATAGAGTATCAGGTAGTATATTTTGCAGATTCGCAGATATAATCACATGGATTGCTGTAAAACAAGAAATAAAATTAGTTATACACTATGTCAATGATTTTTTAATTATTTCAGATACTAATGCAAAAAAATGAGCTACAACAGTTTCTTCGTATACTAGAGATCATGAA